CCCCCCCCCACCAGAGTGAGTGCCTCCCCCATGCCAGGCTCGCTCCCACCTTGGGAACCGTAGCTCCAGCTGTGCCCCCCGTCTGCAGCACTCGTCCGCCCCCATCTGCACGGCTCTCTCCCTCAACATCTTCACCCATTTGCCCAGCTTTCACCTTCTCCAGGAGGCAAATCCCATCCATCCTGTCCACTGCGGTCCTCAGCCTCCACTCTCAACCCGCTTTCTTCCCGCACATCCCTCCTATCCCACCGGAGGAACCGCCTCCTAACACAATTTACAACGTAGCGCTTATTCAGGGTGCTGTCCGTTGTCCGTCTCCCCCTGCCACAGAAGAGGTGCCCAGTAAATTTTTGCGGGCTGAGAGAATGGAGACCCAGCGAGGACAAATAACTTGCGCAAAGCAGCACGGCTGGCAAGTGCCCGAGCTGGGATTCAAGTCCACAGTGGGGGCTGTCTGGGCTCTTTCCCTGCTAGGCTGAGGAATCAAAGTGACCCGAGAAAGCGGGTGTTGGAAAGACGCCGGGAGGAGGCAAGCCTTTGGCCAGAGGTTCCAGGAGGACGTCTTTACTGTCTCATGCCCCACAGAAGCCTCACACACGGCAGTGCCCAGCATATAGTAGGTGCTTAGGAAACATCTGTTAAATGAATGGAGAGGCCTGGCATTTAGCCCAGAATCACTTTCTCCACTTGGCAGAGCAGCTTTGCAAAGGCGTATGCGTGTGATACAAGACTGGAGGGGCTCAGGGATTAGAATTACACGTTTCCTTAGAGCCAAAAATGACAAGTGCCCTGAGCCACAGAGTGGCCAGGGCTGGGACAGGCAGCTGACCCGCTCACGCGTGGGCAGGCAGCCTTTGCTGAACCCGGGCTTGGGGCAGCTGGGAGGACCATGCCTTCGGCAGGGAGCCAGGGAGGAGGCAGGTGGGCAGCAGAAGCGGGAGTCCCAGGGGCGGGCCTGCCGGCTCCCACCCCAGCTCCAAGCTTTGGATTCTTGGTTCCTGTTCATGCGCAGCCCACAGCCTCCCCACTTCCAGGCGTCCTCCCTCTGTATCCTTGTCCAGCCTCGGGGCACAGCCATATCCGGTGGGCAGGCACCCTATGTGTCCACACTCCGGGACCACCCCCCACCACACCCCGCCGCTGCCCTGACTCTGGATCCCCAGACAGAGGAGAAAGAGACAGAAGCCACCGCAGATGTTTAGAACAAAAGCAAAAGGAGAAACAGACGGCAAGCTGGAGCCAGAATGCCTGGGATCGAATCACTTAGTAGCTGTGTGAAAATTACTTCTTTCGTCTGTGCTGTGGTTTCTTCATCTGGAGGAAGGAGAAAAAGATCTCGCAGGCTTGTCCCGAGGGGTTGCAGTCTGAAAGCATAAATACATGCAAAGTGTTCATACAGTGCCTGGCACCTAGTAATTACTAAATAAATGTTAGGCTGGGCTTATTCCTTATGGCTCTCTAATATTTATATCTGAAAACACACCCATTTTCTAACCCCCACAGCTCATCATCCAGTTGCTGGCCTGGCTTGGGGACCCACATAACGCCCTAGGTGCGGGGTGTGTAGGGGCAGAAGTCACAGGAAGGGAGGTGGGATCAGGTTGACTGGGCTCAAATCCCAGCTGCAGCACTTCTTAGCCTCCCAGGTCTGGGCAACTTGTTGTTTTACTAATTTGGGCCTCTCTATCTGTAAATAATCATAACAACAGAAGGCCTCGCCTCCCCCCCCCCCCCCCCCCCCCCCCCCCCCCCACAAGAATGGGTCGCATAAGGATTAAAAGAGTTGACTGCAGGCACCCTGTGGGCACTAGCTTGTTGTCAGTCCGAATTTCAGCTCTAGGTCATGATCTCACACTGTGAGGTTCTTGTTTTCCCGGCGTCGGGCTCTGGGTTGAGCTAGCTTGGGAGCCTGGGGCCTGCTTGATTCTGTGTCTCCCTTCCTCTCTCTGCCCCTCCCCTGCTCATGCTCTCTCTCTCTCTCTGTCTCAAAAATAAAATAAAAATCATGCTCTCTCTCTGTCTCAAACATAAAATAAAAAAAAAAAAAAACATTAAAAAAAAAATAAAAGAGCTGAGTGCATAGGAAGAGCCCAGACTCCTACATGTAAGTGTTAACAGTCATGTGTTTGGGTCGCCCAAACTCAAGCCACACCAAGAGATTAGGTGTGAAAAGGGGAAAAGCAGAGACCTACCCACAGCTCTCTGTCCCGCATCGTGCCACGGAGTCCTCCTGGTAAGCCTTGACCCTCTGGCCATCCCTATTTGTCCCTGGACACCCGGCTGACCCGGCAGGGATGGGCCATCCACACGGGACAGAGTGCTCCCATCTCGGCCCCAGGGGACGGCGCCCACGGCCACACCTGCTCACTGCTGCCTCGCGGTCGTCTACAACCTCTGATGCCCATCAGAACCTACCACCCATCCCTGGGATTCCCATCTGCATACTCATGCCCGGAAGGGAGAATATCCAAAACCAGCAGAGGTTGGCAGCCCCCGCCGCGTCCGGGCTTCCAGATCCCTGCCACCTGTCTGCCCCGCCCCCACCCCCTACTTAACTCTCTTTCTGGGCTGGTACCTCTAGCACCTGCTCCCGGATACTTGCTCCTGGCCCTCCAGGCTTGTCTTTACGTATCAGCCGCAGCAGAATTTTGGGGCGGGCAGATATCACCATCTGGGAGGCCATCCAAGGAGCTGGTGGTTGAAACCCTGGGCGAAACCCCCAAGGACAGGCAGCACCATACTGGGCCGGGCCAAGATGCTTCTGACGCAACCCACGGGCTCTTAAAGGGCCAGGCCGGCCCGGTGCGTGGCAGGAGGCTGTAACGTGCACCCGCGAGGACAGCAGGCTCACGTTCCCCTCAGCAGCTTTGGGGCCTCACCCGGATGCTGCGTCCTGGCCAGCAGCAGACGGGGCAGCTGAAGAAAAACACCCCACCGACTTCACAAATGAAGCAGACCCTACCGAAATTCTATCCCCGGCTTCCTGTGACACGGCCACACCAAGGTCGAGACCGGCTGTACCTGCGGGGACACTGAATCCTCAGCGGCTCACGTGGCCGCTTATCACCATCTCCCTTATAATATATTAAGGAGGAGCAAGAGAGACCGGTGCCCAGCGATGCCAGCTGGGCACATTCACCTGGGCAGGGACAGGGTGGCGTTGGTCAGGTCTCAGAGGTCCCCTGTCGCTGGGGATACATAACCTCTGGGCACAGACACCCAGCCTGCTGTGTCCAGTTCTTCCCAGTACAGATGGTACCCGGGTTTGGAAATAACCATCAGGCCCCTAAATGCTATAGGGAATGCCAAGTGCCCTTCACTCGACCCAGGAGGGCTGGGGAAGGCGGGACAGTAGCCAGAGATCCCTATCGCTTAAGCAGGAGCGGCCTGTGTCACAGCTAGGCCACGGCCACCTGGTGGACAGCGTCCCGGGCTGGCCACGGGTGCCGTCTGGAGTCAGAGTCCCGGCTCTGCCACTTGCTGGCCGGGTGACCTCGGGCCGGTGACTTCACCTGGCTGAGCCTCCGTGTCCTCATCTCTAAAACCTGAGTAATCCCTGTCCCCCGGGGATGTTTATAGATCCTTGCTGCACATCTGGGTAAACAAACGCTCCGCCCGGAGGAGTCACTGAGACGATGTATGTGCAGCACTGTGCACGGAGCGAAGGCACAACCCAAGTCATTAGCTAAAGATCCTGGCCTCTGGCCAGTTCGCGATGCAGCCCTCGCTGCCCTCTGCACTCCTCCTGCTCAGTCGGAAGGATAAGGGCACTCTGAGGGGCACCCATCCAGCCCCATCGCTTCTCTCTGTCCCTGTGGGGAAACTGGAGAGACCCTGTCCCGTTGCCAGATAAGGCCAGGCCTGGCTGGCCCGGGGTCACCTGCCATGCCTCCAAGGCACAGGGAATGTCAGCTATGTGTGGGGGTGGGGGGTGGGGGAGTGGGAGGTGCTGGCAGGTCCCGCCCGCCTCAGTAGTGCAGAGAATGCGCCCACAAGCACGCGCACTCACGCACACGCGTGGCAGAGACGCACGGGCTATCTTCAGTCTATGCTGTTTAAACCCAAGCGGTTGGCTCATCCCACCCACTCCCCGGCCCCCCAGTCTTGTTTTCTGTAAAATGGGAACAGATGCTCACAGCATCAGAGTGAGTGTGCAGCGAGATGTTGCCTGAAGTGCTCCTGGAACACTGCCTGGCACATGCCAAGTGCTCAGAAAATGATCAAGAAAACTAAAGCAGAACCAGGAAAAAAAAAACGTGCACTTCTATGCAGCCCCGCAGGACCTCCAGGTACCCCCAAGTCTCCTTCAGTTTTTTACTTCTGACCCTTATAACAGCAATCGCTAAGACTGAGCTGCCCTGGTACCCCTTGGAAGCTGGCCCAGCCCGGGGTGGGGGGAAGGCCCCAGAGGGAACTGGGATGTTGGCCCAGAGAAGCCCCCAGAACTGCCAGCCAGGCTGGGCTCTGCCCCAGGCAGCGGCCCCAGGGGTACTTAAGCACATGCAGCAAGGGAGTTACGAAGCCCCATCCTCCATGCGTCCCTGCTTCCGCAGGGCCACTGGGAAACTGCTCGGGCCAGCCCCCCAGAAGCTCTGCTCCAATGGCGCAGTGAAGCTATACCCTAAAGCAAAGCAATCCGAACTGCCAAGGTTCCCTCTAGAATCCGCCCACCCCAGGGAACTTCTGCTGCGGTCATGGTCGTGGGTGGAGCGGACTCAGACCCTCAAACAGAGCGACTCCCTCAGAGTCTGCAAAGAGCTTCTGTCTGTCTGCTCATCTCCACTACTGTCCTAGGGACTCGGAACAGAGCAGGGATCACTGCTCCCTGAGTTTCAGGCAGGGAAGACTAAGGTTCCACCAGATGAAAGGGTCTGTCCCAAGCTGCGCAGCCAGCAAGGGCTGCGACATGTCACAGACCCTGCCCCTGGGTTTCCCCTCCCCTCGTCTTAACGCGCCAAACAAACCGATGATAACAATCATGACAGCAGCCGGCTCTCCCGTGTGCTTTCCATAGATTATCTCCCTGAAAAATCACGACAATGAACTACCACTACCTCACGCGGATGGCCCAAGGTCAGAGAGCCAGCGAGCACTCTGCCCACCCCTTCACCCCCACTCATGACTCCATACTATGGGGTCATGCCGCCTTGACCTCCTGGGGTGGGAAGCAGCTCAAACTTC